GGTATGACAGTGTTTACAAGCACATGACTTCTGTGTGTCTCCGCCCTAAATACCTTGGATTGGTTCTGCCATGCAGGTTTTTTTTTTAACACTAATTGTTTCCACCCACTTTTAGTAACAAAAGCTGAGGCAAAGTCCTGTCTCTATTGAGCGAAGCGTTAAGAGGCTACTGAGGTACCATTACCACAAAATTGTTCTTAAATAAAGCATCCGAGTAAATGCCCTTTGTTAGTGTCTACCACTGCCAATCAGTTACAACTGAAATACAAAACGTTTAATAATCTGAAACAGAGGGATTAGTGTATCCCTAGATTTTTGGTGGCTTGTTCAAGCTCATTAAAGCTGAAGTCCATAAGTTTACATACATTGTTGCCCTCTGTGATGGAGAAGGTTACAGTGAATTAATTTTGGAAAAAGATGGCGTTGTCTCATCGGCTACTGTTTAGTAAACTCTGTAAAACACAAGAAGTGCTACTTAGATAAAGTCATTGTAATCAGTATTCATAGTGATTAAGCCAAATGGAGAGCACAATTTCAACAATCAACACTTTTTTCTTCTCTTTGCTGATCATCTTACTGCCTGCATTAACTGTCTTACTGGAATCTGACTGTCAATCATTGTAATGAAATATTATACACCGTTATACTACTATAACTGGTCAAACTGGTGGCCAAAATAGGACCCAGACTGTGACAACATCAACTTTTGTTTGAGCTGAAAATAAAAGGGTTGCCTGCCTGAGTCTGTTTTAACCTGAGGCGCCCTTGGATACATCACATACACTCACACACTCACACACACACACACACACACGTGTACACACACACACACGTGTACACACACACACACACACCTGGATCACCCTGAAGGGTTAGCACTCAGCCGTCACGCTGATTAACTTAAAAAATATCCTCTCATCCCGTTATCCTCTCATGGCCACATAGCTGCTTTCTCTCCTCATTCCCTCTTTTCTCTCTTCTCCTCGGTGTTCCCCTCCTCTCCTCCTTTCCTCTTTCATCAGGCAGGCAGACAAGGTGACCCAACGTGGCTCCTGCTGTCTGTCCAGATGTTGAATCACCGTGATTTCCCTCTATACATTGGCCATTGTCTCGCTAACAAAGAGCTGCTTCTAGGAGCCGCTTTGAAAAATGATTCAATCTGTGAGAGAACATGATATTTTAGATCGAACTGTTTGCCTGTCTATGAAAATGGCATCCTAATTGTGAGCGCTTGTGTCCATGCTCGTAGTTGTACACACACATGTTCACCTTGTTGGTTTTGTCACTGATTGAGATCTTTGACCAAAACTCCACCACTGTAGCCTCATTCATCTAATTGAATATCGACTTACGCTCAGCGTCTCCCATGTTTTCACTTTCATAAATCTGTCTGTGCTTGATGGCGTCATCTATAAAATGTGCCGGAATGGAGGTTTTATTTGGAATGACATTCTTAAAGAGAAAATGAGTAAGAGTAGAGGTGGACCAAATACACCAAAGATTAAAACAAATCCCAGAAAGAACTACATTATTACTGAAACATGTCATTGTAACGGGTTCCTCAGACTGAAGCTTTTCACGCAAATAAAGCAGCAATGAACCACTGGTAATAGATTAAAGCATTCTAAACAATTTACAGCTCTGTATGGTTTTGTTTTATTTGTTGTGTTGTTTTTGTATTTGTCTTGTTCTTCATCGCTCTCTCTCTCTCTCTGCCTTTGTCTCTATCTTTGTTGCCTAGACAATCTGTTGATCGATTACCAGTTTACCTTCAGCTTGCTTCAGGAAGATGACCGCTACTACACTGCCATCAACTTCATGGCTACACCTGACCAGGTAACACTTGCACTCAAAGGCACACAGAAGGGACTGATAGCTGCTATAATCTTAACTGACTGACTGATAGGTTGAACTTTTCGATGTTTTTTTTGCATTCATTAGATAGTGGACACTAAAGACAGACAGACAGGCAGGAAACAAGGACAGAGACATGGCGATGGCCTGCGGCTGAAATTGAACAGGGAATGTTGTGGTTACTTGATATGCAACAGAAACAATTTCACCAGGATGCCCCAAAGTTGGTTTTTGAAATAAGCTGTAGAACATTTATTCTCTAAATGCAGGAGTCTGCTGTCGACAGTTAGAAACATCTAAATTCTTGAGTTTTATCAAACCCATTTTTCATTCTCAGCTCCTAAAGGGGTGTTCAGATACAGCTGAAAGTGTAGATTTAATGCAGCATTGCAGACAAAATCAATAGAATGACACCCAAAGAGGCCAACAGATTTGAATTTGCCCTAGGTGACATGAGTTGAGGTGAAGACGAGTAAGCTGAAGTTAAAAATGTTTTAGCAAAAAATGCTCCTCTCTTCTGTTGTACGGTACTTCATGAATGTACGCAAAAGTGCAAAAGGTCAGCAGACCTGAAGGAAAATAAGTAAAACAACTCTACTTAGGAAAGTGTCCATCACCCCAGCAATCAATAAATAAACCAAGATAGAACTGCAACAAGAGTTTGATTTGCATTGTGTCTGAATGCATCTTAAGCCTTCATCTTTCACTTTCCCTACAGTGATTCACTTCCATCTACTATAAATCAAAATCAGTGTGTCCACAGGTGTTACCTTCTATGTCCAGTCCTGTCACAAAGCCATGCATGTGTTTTTTTCTTTTCGTGCAGGCCAACAAGAACCTCGACATGTCCATCAATGCCTCGAACAACTTCAACCTTAACATCACGTGGTCCTTAAGCTCAACAGGTAGAGGACCTGTTCATCTTAAATGTCTTTTTGTTGTTGTTTTTTTTAAGGTATTTTGGTTTCTCCACTTATTTGGAGTAATCAATTAAAACGATCTTCGCTTGTCCATACAGGTAATTTTACTTATTGTAGGTGATTAAACCTCTTTTTAGGATTGTGCGTAAATACAGACTGCAACAAATTCATTGATGTGCTTATCTGCTTAATATTTTCTTGATTAAACGTACAACAAGAAATCAACTAATTGAGGTGGTGGAAACTCTACCTCACATAAGACACAGAAAAGATCACAAATCCTAAAAATAATTACTATGTAATGTAATGTGAAAAATTACACTGTATTGCACTATATGATGGAATTTGCCATGGTATTGGATTTCTTCATTTCCTCATCTTTAATCCATTATCAAAATAGTTGCAAATTAATGCTATATTAATTAATCAATTAATGGTTTTAGCTGTTAATTGACATACACCTACAATGGAACCCACATTGCATAGCACGCATTCACATAGCATACTACACAGACACTACACACAGACAGAAAAAGTAGTCAACAGTAGCTGGAATCGAGCAAATGTGAAAAAAACGGTTCTTTGTTTGGACCTTTGACATGCTGAGCAACTCGAAAGTCATATAACTGTGGATCTTCAAGATGCTACTGGTGTGTTAGTCTACATAGAAAGCAGTTTTATTCCAAGTATAGTTCTGCCCATCTTCAACCTGAGCAGAGGTCTAATCAGCCAGAAAAACTGAAAACACCTGTGGGGGTCTGCAGGGCCCTTCATAGTTCAATACTGAATTAGAAGAGTAGCCAAAACTTGCAATATTGAAAAAATAACATCCAGAATTCTGTCAACAGTAATTCAATAAGGAACATTCCATATTGACATAAATATTGTAGCTAGAACAGTAAAAAGCAATTTTCTCTTTTAAAAAGACCATTGTCTTTATAATAGGACATTTCCCATTACTGTCTAATGAAACCGAAAGTGAGCTGTAACATAAAATGTAATTTGAATTTGATACAGTGGTTGATTGTTTAGTCTCTGAAGGACTATCATTTAGTTTTCTGTCTGTAAAGACATCCCACAGTCAGTATCTTTTATTGGTGGCCAAGTGTCCTTAAGTAAAATGGTCATATCCACTCCCTGTATGCCTCCTGGGGATTCCCCCTCTTGACAAAACACATCAGAAGCTATTTTGAATTTTGGCATTAGGGTGTTTTATACATTTTCCCTCCTGATTTCAATTAAGATAAAAGCACTCTGCTTTCACACTCGCAGTGTCTTGGGGCCCAGAGCTTCTTCAGTTTAGGACTGTGGGCCGTGTGTGTGATTGTGTATGTGTGTGTGATTGTGTGCAGACTATTACAGAGTGTTTAATGGCCCTGATAAAGCAGGAGGTGGAAATATTTTATTCACAACGTCTGAAAAACTCTGCCATTAACACAGAACTGCTGATAATGCGCTGAAGGATACTGAAATCAGACCACTTCAGCGCTGAGAGAAATTTACAAGCTCGCTCTGAATTACTGCGAGGTGTCATGAAAATAATTTGCCTGCTTGAGATGAAAGGCAATTCTTTACATTTTTAAATCGAGACTGTTTGTTAACACTTTATAATACACTACAAAAAACTGTGAATACTTACCGAGGAATGAGGAACAAATTAGGAGCAACCTAATCATTATTGTTAATAAGTAGTTAGTAAATGAAGGACTATATAATACATAAGGATGATTGACTAGAGGAAAGGCTAGCTCACCGTCAGCATTCCCCACTGGCTCCCCCTCATCCCAGAACTTAAAACCAGACAGCACAGACTGAGCTAACTATCGTGGTGGTTAACTTACTTTAGCAACTGGAAAACATTTTCTCCAAAAGGATCTAGTTTCACCAAACTCAGTGACATAGTTGGTGGTGTGTGACTACTGCCATAAAGCATTGTCCTGGCCCTGAGACTAAAGTTACTTAGTTCAACAGGCATACAGGGAGTGGGAATGACAACATTTACCCTATTACAAGTCAGCGTAGCATCAAAATGATTTGAAAGCTGTAAGGTAGAAAAGTTACATATTGGTGCTTTAATTGAATTAAAAGCTCTCAATTGATTGTGTTTAGTATTAAAAAGTAAAGGGAGGCCACATGAAGTCCTCTATCAAAATATAATATATGTCTTTATGTCTATATATTTGTTTTTAGCACAATGTGTGATATAGTAACATTCCTGGAAATTTAATTTAAACAAAAATAAAACAATGGATGGGAATGCATGTTTTTGGCAAAAGACAGGGTCTGATACCAGCAGTCTGACAAATGTCATGTTCATTGTTTTCACAATGATGAAAACCTAGAGGGGCAATAAAGTGAATTAACTACCTAAAAAACATCCAAACAAAACATCCATTAAACAGTCCTGCTTATTGATTTGTAACATTGTCCACAATGGTTTAATACAACTAGAGATGCAGCTATAGGTTTAAGCAGTATTTCAATCGGTTGACAGATCACCATTGTCTCAACTGTCATAACAACCAACCCCATAACATAGCTTCTATTCATATGGTAGGTTTGAATTCTACTGACAGTGCCTTTCCTTAGTTGACAAAGTTTTTAAATGTTAGTTTACTCTCTCTTATCCTTCACCTCTGAGAGGACCTCTGGTGACATTTCTCATTGAAAAACCACAAGCTGCTGTTAATATGTTGTCTATTGGTTTTCTACGATAAATGATAGCTCTTGAGCAGAAATACAATAAACACCCTCAAAGGTATCACTGTTTGTCCCCTTCATGAGAGCTGTGGCTCCCCACCAGACACTGAACGCTGCAGAGATGCTATAAATAGTTTTGTGAATGACCGTAAGACTTAGATGACAAAAGTCATTTGGGTGGCTGTGGCTAAGGAGGTAGAGCTTGTCGTCTACTAATCAGAAGATTGGCGGTTCGATCCCTGGCTCTTCCCACTGCATGTCAAAGTGTCCTTGAGCAAGATACTGAACCCCAAGTTGTTCCCGTGCTGTGCATTGGAGTATGAATGACTATGAGTGAATTAGTTTCTGTTTGTGTGAATGGACATATGGGGCATGTAGTGTAAAAGTGTCTTGAGGGGTTGGAAGACTAGAAAGGCGCTATACAAGTGCAGTCCATTTCCCATTTCCCATTGACCAAAATAGTACTGTGCTTGATTTAGTTATTTTCTATCCTATAAAAATATCCTCTGTTGTATTTCATTGTTACACTTTGTTCTGCTGTATTATAAACTACCCTGTCTCTTACAGCTGGCACCATCTCAGGTGAGGAGATGCCCATCATAGCGAGGACCAACATCAAGGAGCACCGTGACAGTTTCTCGTGCGAAAAGTTCAACTTCAGACTTCACCACAACATCACCTTCTACGTCTATGTGTCCAACTTCAGCTGGCCAATCAAGATCCAGGTTAGAGGCTTGTTGGAAGGAAGAATACATGTGGTTTGGTTGTGAGGAGGATGTATGATAATGATCGTTAACTTCATTTCATTTTTACCAAGGCTGACCACTGATCGGTGAATAGGAAAGATTAGGCCAACAGGCTGGCTATTAGAGCTGCAAATAATGATTTATTTTTTGTTATTTAATAATCTAATTGTTGTCACTCTTCTATCTAGAACAGTGAAACGTGTCCAAGGTGTTGTCTTCAAAATACTTGTTTTGTCCACAATCAATTTACAGTCACATAAAACATAAAAAGCAGCAATGCCACACATCTAGAAACCATGTTATGTTTTCATTTGTGTAATCACCTAAAAATAAGGAAAAGTTTTCTTTACATTCCAATGAGGCGTTTTTATCTATAAGAGGGGTTGCCATCCATGGAAGCAACCATGTTGAACGGCCATGTTCCTACAGTAGTCCAGAAAGGACCAATTAAACACTGGCTTTAGATTAGCCGTTTATGTTTTTTCCATGTTTTGCAGCCAGTAGTAGTTTGTCTCTTGCACTTTGAAGGGGAGGATGAAGCAAGGTAGTTGCAATCTCAATTCTCGTGCTAGATGCCACTAAATCCTCCAAACTGGACCTTTAATTTCAGCTTAAATTACTCTACACAGATCAATACTGTGATTATTACAGATGGGTTGTGATATTTCTACAATAAGCTCAGTCCATCTTGTCCTGTTTAATGGCTACAGTATGTGGCCACAAAGACAACTCTGCTGCTGATTTGGGACTTGATGATAATTATGATGATGATGATGGATGGAAAGAAAAAAAATGCTCATTGTGTTGGATTCACAAAATGAGTGACACATTACATATTATACTTTTACAACAATGTTTGTAAAAGTGCATTGCGCAAGTGCTCTCTATGAAACCAATTGTATCTAATTTGTTTTTAACTTGTATGGTTATTATTTCTGTGCCCACATAGTAAATCAGTTTCCTTTTGGGAATAATAAATTGATAAAAGTAATCAGTGAATAATAAAAGACAAGATGCACGTCTGTTCAGTATAATAGGATGTTAGAATGACTCATGTCATGTCATGTTTACAGGCCAAAAACATAGTTACTCAGAGTTGGTGTTTGACAAGCATCAGTTTCCAATAAACCAATGTTTGTCACTTCTATTGCTTGCTGAGGGAATATTCTGAAATTCTCTCCCATTTTTTTAAATGACAGAAGACAGCTAATAAAGTTTATTATCTTCACATTAAAAATTAAAATGTAATTTCCCTCCTACAAGTTGTACAGTACTGTATACTAGTTAAAAACATCAGAACATGAATCAATATTGGGTTAAATAGATTGGTGATAAAAAAAAAAATATATATATATTTTCAAGATGCACACTTTGAAAGGTTGTGGTGTTAAAATGATTAAAGTTTAATATAACATATTAAAGTTCAGAGAGTTTGTGATCTGCAGAAACTAGAAAGAAAAAAAAATTCTGCAAAGGACTTAGAGCCATTGAATCTCCTTCCTAAGTATGTCAGTTAAAATGTTTGGATGAACAAGGTAAAGCACAAGTATGGTTTGCATCATCATCGTCATCATCATCATCGTCACCATTACCATCATCGTCATCTCCAGTACTTCAGGAGCTGTCTCTGCAAAACATATAGCCCTGACAGGACGGTGAGCATAAACTATACTGAAAAGTGTTTGGCAAATCTGCTATCACATTTAATGATCTGTGAGTTTTCCAATGTCTCTCCATCAATTATGCAGCACTGGATTAAATCTCCAGGCGGCAGCCACACACACTAAATATTCACGCTCCAGCCTTATGATCCATTAAATTGAAGTAGACTTTTAGCGGGGATATTTTAAGATGACTGTCATGCAGGGTGCGGGGTGTGTGCTGATGGATGGAGTCAAGAAGTGACAGAATGGAGAAATTAGGGGAGAGTGAGGACAGGCTAGCTGGTTAACTGATGTTGAGACTCCTGTACAGTCAAAACATCCACTGTTGAGAAAATGGATCTGCCTAATTGACAGATTGAGGGAGAAGGACAGTAGGTCTGGAGACAGAGAAAGACATAAAGCAGAGTATGGATGGACTGATGAATGGAGAGATGGATGGGAGAATGATGAATGGGACAGTAACTGCTCAGTTTCATGAGCATTCAGTTTAAAGTTAGGAAAAATCTGAATTGAAATAATCTTTAAAACATGAAATGATCACTCACTGTGGAACTTAGTTTAAACAATTTGATTTATGAATATTTTTTAAGTTTAAGGCTCACATTAATTTATCTTTTTAATTTTATCAGTCAGTATATAAGTTAAAAGTATACTCAGATAATGTCAGAATTCACGCTACCACCAATCCATTAAACTTCAGGTTATCCGAAAACTATTAAAAACACATAAAATTAGAGTCCTAATGGGGATGCACTTGTTAACAATGTGTGTACCAGGTAACAAAAAAGTGCTAAAAAAACAAGCTTCAGTACATTACATCTTGGTTTTCAAAAAATATATCAATTAGAAAAAATAAATGTGGCAACATTTCACCAAGTGCATATTTACATACAAGCTAATCCTTTGCTAAACTGAACTGGTCAAACCTTTATTTCTTGCTGCTCTGTAGGCCTTGAACACATCCTCAGTGGCAGAATCACTTTCAGTCATTGGGGGTATTTTTCTTTCCAAAACTAAGATGCCAAACCTTATGACAGCAGAACCTTGCAAGACATACACCTCCGATTTTCCACTTCTCTTTTGCGTTCAATCACTTACAAGTTTTGACCTTGTTTGTCAGTGACCATTTAAGGAGATAACAGCTGTCTGTGATACAACACCGCATGATGGACAAAAACAACAAAAAGATCATACATTTCTTCCTCGTCATAGAATAACTACTAGGGCTTTGTTTGTGTTGAAACAAGTAATTCATAAATGGTTATGCTAGCCTTGCAGTGTCTCACCACATGATTTCAAGGGGAAACATCATTTGGAAGCTTAATCCCAATCAGCCTGTATTATCCCAGTCGTTTGGTGT